CCATCAATAAATAAATAATGAAATTAAATCATAAACTTAATAAAAAAAACATGCGCACTTGATGGGGTCAGTTGTTTTTGAATGGACCAAATAGAGAGAGGGAGGGAGCCACGTAGGCCCTTGACTCAGGTCAGCGCCACCACCAACGGTGGCACCACCTTCTTCTCCGGTGAGACCAAACGCTAAACCTGCAAAATCAAAGAAAAACAAAAAATAAAAGTATCATGATCCACTAATTGAGACCCTGTGAATTCAATGGTGGTGTTAGTTTTAATTGAGAAGGCCTGTAGCCATGGATTCAAAGCTTCACAAGCTTAGTGCCCTAGCAATGGAAAGTCCTTGTTCCTGTGCTAAAGCTCACATATTATGCATCAAACATGTTCTAATGATGTATATGAACATATATGGATGCATCAAATTAGTAAACAATGCATAAATTAAAGGTCTGAATTTGAAAAAGTTACCAAAACCGGTGAAGGTGAGCGTGGTGTTCTGGGAACGATTTTGATTGCTTAAGGACTTGGAAAGCTTCCTAGGAGCGTTAGTATGATGATGGAATGCTTGAACTTGATTGAGGATAGATGCAAACAAGGTTTTGTTCTTGCCCTAATTTCTTGAATTTTTGAGAATTCTAGGGTTTATTCTTGGAGTCAGCCTGCTATTGTACCCCAACATTTGCCCCTAAGATTACCCTATCATCTCATATCAACTCATCACAACAAGATCACACTAGGGTTTGACTATTCTCCCTATCTTTAGGTTTGCTCATGAGGAATCACCAAGCACCTTGATTTGTATATTATGGTCATATATGTTTTGTATTGATTAACTTTTAACTAATAAATACAATGAATGTTTGCTCTAATTGATGATATTATAGGTAAGGGTACAACACATTTCATCAGGTGAATTCATAGGTTCATGAGTTTATTTCCATGCCTTCTCCAACAAAGCTTCATTGAGATTCAAGATTCATCATCGAAGATGCTTTAAAGTAATATCATGACAAGGTCTACTATGATTCATCATCCCTCAATTTGTCAAAGAAAGTCAAAAGATACAAAGGTTGATTGAAGAAGTTTGACGTAATTGGACAAGTTCTTGATTTCATTGATCACAAGAACATAACTCTCTCAATATTTAACATTTGGAGGTAGTTTTTGTTGATATGGGTTCTTATTATCATTCACAAAAACCTCTATTCACATGGCAAAAGTTATTATGCAAGAAAGTTTTTCAAAATTGAAAAGGGTTTCCAAGTCAATTGAGCTAGGTTTTTGAACTTCTAAGGGCTGTATCTTGCTAATCTTTTGAGATTTTTGAGTAATTCCAAAGACAAGCTTCTCTTTAAAGGGTTATAAACTAATCACTTCAATAGTTTCAAGAAAATTTAGTGTGGAATATGCCTAATGATGAAGAAAGAATACAAGTCTTCTAGATAGGCCATCAAATTTCCTTATGTAATTTTAAAAGATCATAACTTGGTCAATTTTTATCTCCTTGAGCCCATTATTTTTCCACAATTATCTTAAGAAAGTGAAATTCAACTCTTCTTTTATGTGCAAAGCTTGAAAATAAGTGGAATATGCCCTAAGAACTCAAAAGATTATAGGTCACCCCATGAATTTTCACCAATTTTATAAGGCCATAACTTTTTAAATAATTGGTATTTTTGAGTGATTCAAGTTCCAAAATTCTCTTTGGGAAGTCTACTTCAAGCTAGCATCAATGATCAAAGCTCAATTTTGGAGGAAGGCCTTGTTTGAACTCAAAACATTATAGGTCACTTTTGAAGAAAAACTTAGAATTTTTCTAAGTACAAAAAGTCAGCATCTTTTTCTCAACTTTGACTCATCACAACTTTTAGCTCAAGAATACAATTGATCTCACTCTTTGCACATTGTAAAGTTTGTGAGCTTATCTTTCAAATGCTTCAAGAATCATGCCCTAAGACTCCTTGAGTTGTGAACACCATGGATTCAAATATGGTACTTTGAAACTGAAGTTTTCTCCAAAGTCAGAATTTGAAAATCATAATGTGGCTTCTAATCACCAATTTAGCATGCGTTTTTGATTTAAACATGTTTAAAAAAGTTACCAAAGTTGAATTAAGGATCAAAACGCAGGAATTGGTTGAGTTTTGATGCGCACAGGGTCACACTTTTTTCACTTCCGAGCTTGCTCCAATTTCCCTCCAAACTTCAAATTTCCTGTGAATTCTTTACACCATTCTCTTCCCTATAAATAGAGGACCTCACTCCTCTCATTTTCTCAAGCATGAACAACCAAAGTCACTATGTCAAACTCCCTCCATAACTCACTTTTCTGAGATTTTGAATTCCTCTTTTCTCCAATTTTCAATCCAATTTCTTCATTGATCCTTCATCCTTGAACTTCCCTGAAGCTAACAGAAGAAGAATCAAGCCTTGAGGTTCTCTGAATCAAGCCTTGATGCTTCTGATTTTCAATTTTAACATTTTTAAACATCTCTGGATTTTTCCAAATCGACTACGTTGTGCTTTATATAAATTTTTCGCGAGCATATGGTTCTGATCGTCTCAAGTAGACACATCTAATGGTACCACTATGAACGCATAAATTTATAGATTCAAGGATCTTGGATTTGCCATACTGGCTGAAGGCTGAAGGTTGAAGACGACCTACGTGTCGTTCTTCAACCAATGACAATCAGCCAATTGTTTTATTTTGATTGGTTGGACTTTCTTGTGTTGTATGTGCGCGCCTTAGCTTGGATCCATGATACTCCCTCACCTCAGATCCATTAGATCTGCCAGCGTGTATAACTGAGAGAGATCCAACACGCGTGGTTTTTTTCTGATTTGTTTTTATTTTATAAAATTATTTTTAAATTTCTTTTATCTTTAAAAATTTAAAACTCTTTTATTTTTTATCCAAAAATTATGAAAAAAATATACAAAAATACTTTGAATTATTTTTGGTTCTGTGAATATTTTTCTTATTTTTATTTTAATGTTTGATATTTTTCATAATTTTTGTTTTGTTTGCCTTATTTTAATTATTTTATAAATAATTCTTGGCTTTTTTTAAATTCTAAAATTTTTTATCAAGGCCACTTTCTCTATTTCTGACTTTTCTGAAATTTTTGTAGAATTTTATTTTGACTTCTACTATTTTTTTAAATCTTTTTTTCACTTATTTGAGTAATTTTAATTAGTTTAAAAATACTTTTCTATTTTACAAAATTACCAAAAAAATTTATAAAAATATTTGAGATCATTTCTTACTTTTCTATGGTCTCTTCTAATTTTTCTTTGACATTTTGAATATATTTTTCTATTTTGCCTTTTATTTCTATTAAAAAACAATTTTAAAAAAATCATTTTTCTTCCTTTTATTTTGTCCATTAAATGCAATTTTTTTTATATTCTAACTATGTGATTGTTGATCATAAACTTCATTAACATCATTGAATCTTGAGGGTTGAGTTTAACTCCACTAAAATGGATGGATGATTTTAATGATAGTTTGATTAAATTCTTTGATTCAAATATTTCCCCTCCCTCTTCATCTTATCCCTTTCTCATTATATTACATATTGTTAGAGGATGATCTACATATCATATCTCCAAATATATGGCACATAGATTGCTATTGACCGGTGTTGCACCCCAAAATTTGCCATCCCATTTTTCATTCATGATACTATCCTAGGATTTTTTAATTACTCAATTTGGCTCAGAAGTTGATCAGACAGATTCTCTTCCTAGGCAGTGAGTCAACAATTAGGGTTTAGTATTTTTCAAGAAAAAATGTGTTTTCAAAGTTTGAAATGGTCTTCATGGTTCCTCATGTATTCTCAAGGATGGTCGTGCCAAGTTTTAAACCTCGCGTTGCAAGTTTGCTCAGTCGATGGTTCAGATGACTGAAAACGAACTGCGTGGACCCAAAAAATTGACCTTTGCAAGATCAAGTTCAAACGATTGTAACTTCTTCATTATTAGATATTTTTGAGCAGTTCTTTTTGCGTATGACTCTCCTTGACGTCATCTCCAAGTCCTCTTTACAAGTCAAGAGCTGATTGCATGCGGAAGATCATCAGAAAATTTGAATACTTTAGAGGTCATTTTTGCAAATTTGACCTATTTACAAGAAACTCTTGTCCAATTTTCGGGGTTCATAATTTATTCAATTCAACGTCCTGAGGAAATTTTTTTGCGAAGTATCCCGAATAGCATTACCTATGAGATTACTTCAAAGATCGAGGTCAAATTATGCTTGGTTTAATTTATGTCACAAACGTTTCTCAAAGGACGTTTGATTCTTATGTTGAGGTGTACATTAGCGATTATTGGATTAAGGTGGATTGTTGATTAAATCTCTTAAAGGCGTGATTTGTATTATTGGCTCGTATTGCAAGTTACCGCGAATTGACGATGTGGGTTTTAAAGAAGAAGATTTGAGAAACAATTCGAATAATTATTTTTTGATTTCAAATCGGTTCGAGTGTGCAAGGAGCAATTCATTCATAATGAATTTTCTTTTGGATTCAAGATATACAAAAGAACTAATTTCTCATGATACAAATTTGCTCAATTTTAAAGATCAATTCATGTAATTTGTTTGGAATTCTAGGAGCAGATACAAGATGTCTCAAATTCATTCAAGGATGAAAATCTAATTCAATGTTCATCATCCAAGTTTGATTCAATTTCATCCAAGTTACATTCAACAAAATTCCAAGTTACAATTACAAAAGAATTGAGGAAATATATTCAAGACAAGTTCCATTCATGTTACAAATTTATTTGAGTTATTATTACAAAGTTACCAAGAAGTTACAAGTTTGTACAAAATATATTTCCAACAATTCAAAACAACCCCCACAAAACAGCCTTGCTGCTGCCCTGTTCACAAGCCCAATATCATGCTGCCTACAACCCATTTTCCAGCCTTGTTTTAGCCTACAAAATAGCCTAAAAAATATAGTAAAAACAGTCCAAAAAAAACAGTCCACCAACCTACAAAACAGTCCACAATGTTGTCCAGAAAATGCCTAAAATGGCTAAGTGCAAACCTGCACAAACAGTCCAAGAATCAGCCCTGCACTCCTGCACAATAACAGTCCAAAAAACCTGCTCCAAAATCTGTCATACCAGTCCAACATTAAACAAAGATAGCTCAAACATAAACTGCAACACAAAGCAATAAAATAGGGCACTTCATTTGTTTAAAATTTATCATAATTTTCCCCCCTAAATGCCTTGCTTCTTTCACTATAAAAAGCAACCAAACATACAAAGAAGAGGAGAATTTTTGGTGAAGCAAAAAACAGAAAAACAAAACTGAAAAGAGGCTACTGTTTTCATATAAAAAACATTGTTTTCATACATCTTTTATCCCTAAAACCTTTCACAACTTCAAACTCTCCATACATAATCAATATACCAAGTAATACAAAAAAGAACAACTGTAAAACCACAACGTGCAAGCGGAAGATTTCTATAGGCCAACAAGTTTCAAAATCAACAATAACACATGATAGCAATAGAAGAACTTACCTCGAGTAATCGTCTCTCCGATAACTTTCGGATCGGTAACACTTTTATAATACTTTTCAGTTTGTTGAGTAAATGTTTTCTTGAGTATTGTTTGCCATGTTATCTCTTGTGAATCAGTCGTGCGTATATTTGTATGATTGCTGCTGTATCATTGCATTGAGGATGTGATGTATTTAATTTTACTAGTAAAAAGAGAATTTAGAATAGAGAATCGATTGAGAAAAACATAAGCATTCGTTTACCGATAGACATAAATTCGCAAATAAAAAAACATACCTCCTTTGTCTCGACCGTTAAACCATAACCCCTTAATAGAAACCGCAAATACCCTCATCATCTTCAGCCTTCATGTCTTCTCCCTTAATGTTTGTCTGTTTCACCACCACACCCTCTCTAAAATCAACACCATCACAACTGTAACATTCACAATTTTAACCTTATATTTCACATCTTCACTAAACTCCATCGGACTCAACCTAACATCATCTAAACTTTCGATCCAAAACCGTACACTAGCGCTGAACCGCGATCCACTTTTGTTACATGCTAACAACTTATCCAGAACACATCTGCAAGTTCTTGTACTCTCACCGTCTCCAAACTGCCATGTCAGCACCGTCAACAGTGAGTCTACCTTCACGATGAATCTCCAACTCGTTCCTCTCGGAAACAAGTCGCATCCACCAAATCCGCTCAACCGTGCGCTCCAGCTTCACTGGTACCAAACCCTTCCTTCGTTAGTCCGCATCCCAACTGCGACTCATGACGATTCTGGCGCGATCTGTCTTCCACCACCGGAAAAGATTTCTCTGCTGTTGTACCCCAAAATTTTCCCTCTCATTTGTCTAGGATTCTCTCACAAGATCTTCCATGACATCAAGTTTGCAGCACTAATGCATCAATTTAGGTTTGGAATTGGCACAAGGGCAAAATGGTTAAAATACACACTGAAAAGTCAAACTTTGACTTTTGGATCAAAATCAAGTTTCAAGAGTCATATTTCAGCAAGACATGTTAGAATATGAAGTTTGTTTCTCCAAGAAAATCAAAAGTCAAAATTCTAAACATTTAGAAATTTTTCTAAGTGTTAAGGAAAGATGATAAGTTCAGAACTTCTGGCCAGATTTTCACCATGTGCAAGATGATTCTGGAGAAACTTCTGACACAAGAGTTGTAGATTTCAATGGGATCTAAAACATTTCAGAATAGAACTTCTCCTAGAAATATTGGTATTTCAAGTTATAAATCCTTGAATACACGTGCATGAAACTGAAGCACTCAGTAAATTCTGGGCATTTCTAAGACAGAATTTGGTTAGAACTTCTGGGCCAGTTTTCATGTAGGTTCAATCAGAGCTTGCAAGATTAATTCAAATAAGGTCTGCAAAGCATGTTACAAGATTTCTGAAAAGTCTGAGAACTCTTTCAGAACATGTTGGAGCAGGGAGGTTCAAAGATCAGAAGTTGGATATTTGTTCTAAGTTACAGGGATGTTGAACTTCTGATACAAATTTAAGCTATGATACGTAATCTCATTTTACAGGTTTTCTATTTTGATAAATCTCATCATCATTTAATGCTCACACCCACTTTTGAGTCTTTATCTAAAGGATCTTCCCACGTGTGGCATGGAAGTACCATTGATGTCCTTGAAAAGAAATTTTTTGTACAAAGTTTATGTTGGGCCCATGCTTTACTTTTGCTTCTAAGGGTACTTTTCCATAAATCATGCTTACAAATTCAGATTAGGCACGACTAAAGTAGCTAACCACTCTACTTTGTGCCTTGAACCATACATGTCTAAACGTGCTTCAAGAACAAGTCAGCATCATAACATATGATGGATGTACTCTTGACTTCTCCAAGCTCCTAAATCTTTGCCTACAAATTGAACTTCATTGGCAACAGTTAAAGAGGATATTGAAAGAAAATATTGAAAAAAGCCTTGAAATCTTGCTGAAAATTCCCAAGAACCTGAAACTGCAAACATAAACACAAAACCTGCTAATTTTTGGTTTTGCATCCAAACTCTAATTTTCCTTGTGCATTTCTTAGCCAAATCACCCACGCAGTTTCTGATATAAACTTAGAAGTCGTCCCAACTTCTGTTTTCAGACTGTAACACAATCTTCACCATGCTCCATTTCAAAAAAATCAGAACTCTACTTTTGGGCTGCTCCAGAACATTTCAGCCACTCATAGCTCAAGTCAAGGGTTATTCCAACTTTCTGAGCACGTGAGAAAGCTGACCAGAACATCACAGCAGTCTGAACCAGGCTCTAATTTAGAACAATCTCCAGAATCCAGGTAAGTTCCTTATGACTATTATCTCATTACTTAGGCATTATCAAACTTGCATTTTTCAAAGATACAATATAGATATCATGGTTATGGTTCTGTACATATTTATAGATTTCATGTGTATGGCCTAAGTAGAGAGAATTTCAGATCAGAACTTATTGAGGAAATTAGGGTGCAGAATTAGGATTAGAAAAACTCATATTTACTGATGGTTTATAATTCTGATGCTTTGTATTTCTGAAACATGATGAAATTTGCCTTAACTGCTTTGTTTGCATTTTCCATTTTTGTTTAGAAATGACTAAGTTGCAGATATTCTGACTAGCATGGAGAAGGAGATGAAGTTCATCATCAAAACTTACTTTATGATACATGTTTATGCTTTTGCTTCTAATACTGGATGTACAGCCACCCCAGTGGTAGAAAGTGTGCGCATAAGACATTAGTGCTAATGGTCCTGGGTTCTAGCCCCATAAGCATCTTTTTTTTAGGTTTATTTATTGACATTTTACCCCATTATTTGTCAAACAATATTCCTACACCAGAACTTCTAAATATCCTCGTCTAATAGCCTTATCACCCCACTCTCCCAACAATCAGAACTTCTAAACTCCTTAAACAACCAGAACTTCTAACCTTCCAGTTGCACTAGAACTTCTAGGTTCCCCAGTTGCATTAGAACTTCTAGACTCTCTTAGTAATTAGAACTTCTAGGCTTTCCTTTGTTCTCAACAACCTCAGAATGTTAGTGCGTCTGGATCCAGAACTTCTGACCTTCCTTTTTTTGCTAACATTTGCTTTCTGATGTGCAGTGTGTCTGAGTCAGAACTTATGCTCTCTCCTCTTTCAGCAACGCGTTGATTCTGACTCTTACTCTCTTATTTATTTTTATAATTACTTTATTTTCATTAATCAAAAAACACCAAAATACTTTATATTCACATGCTTTATTTTATTTCCTTTAAAACAAAAAAGATTAAAAATATTTTCTTAAGCAAATTTATTTCTTCTCTTAACAAAAACAAAACAAAATTATATTTCAATTCTTGTACATTATTTCAATATAGTTGTAATAGATAATTAGGACTTTAATTTCTTGCAATCCCCATTTGTAAATTTGTACCCCCATCCCTAAGTGATTGTAATAGCATAGAATATTTACTTTCTGCAATTTATCGCTTTCATATAAATACTAGTAATTAGGGTTTGTATGGCAAGATAAAAACAAAAAGTAGACAGCCTCTAATCAAAGACTAAATGCATGCAAATCAAATACACTATTCACACATGCACCCCTAAGGTTAATTCCACTCGTTGCCTTATAAAAATGGCCATGTTATGCATGTGGGATGTCTTAGAAAAAACAATCAAAAATACAAGATCATAGTCCCTCGATGACGCTACAAATGTTTCCCTTCAAATGATCTTAGTCCCTCAAAGAGGAATGGTAAGTTATCTCACAATATTGCTATCATGACTATACGATGACCCACACCCGTCCCTTTATATCCAAAGATAAGGCTTCTTACCAATGAATGATAAGATAGAAATATCAAAGGAAAGGAAGAAATGAACAAAAGACTTTTGAGTAGGTAGAAACGTCCTTAGTTGCTTGATCACTTTCAAAACAAACACACACAAAACACTTTCAAAACTTGAAATATTTTCACAAGTCCAACACTTTGTATACATTCTTATGGAAACGAGAATCATTACAAAGTTTGCCTAAACGAAGGCGCTTTTCAAAAATACTTTCAAAACCATCATAAAGCATACTTTCAAACAAAAAACAATGATCTAGCAAGAAATTAAGAGCCCATAGATAATTATGGATGAAAAGGGTGTTAACACATTCCCTTTTCATAATCTACCCCCCGAACTCAAGAAAATAATCTCAAGGGTCTTTCCTGTTCTTTTCACCCTTTCCTTCATTGGATAAAAGAAAAGTCGGTGGCGACTCTTGTTATCCACAACAATTGCGATCAAACGCAAAATGTCCCAAGTCAGTTCTCCCACCGTGTTACAGAACTGGCAACTCTGTTGGGGAATTCTTAAAAGTGGGGTTACCTTAGGGCTAGATCCCCTTTATTTTCTTTCATTGTTTGACTTGCTTGCTTTACATTTTTGGTTCCTTGTTTGGGCTTGTTTTGATCCTCTACCCGGATCTGGGATACCTTATAGGTAAGTAGCAATACGTTGTGGAAACTGTGCGGGGTATACCGACATGGTCTAAATAATAGCTATGTTAGTGTGACATATTTGTGGGTACCGGTAGCCCTTGAGTAGTCAAGGAGAATACAGGGCTGTTGTATGGTGTCATGAAGCACTAATTGACTTTAGAACCTTTACTTGACCAACATGGACATTAGGAAGTAGTGAGATAGCCGGCTTTGGTGCAGTCTGAAGTTGGTTGATACTCGATACTGCACTCAATGAGATCAGACTTCTCGGCATATTTTGGTCGCCATGAAAGAGGCTTGCGCTGAAACAATGCCCGATAAGAAAGATCAGTGATATTGAGAACCCTTAGAACCCGGTTATTATTCCTAGGACAGGTTTGAGACAACTAAACTTCAAGAGGGTACTTACCTATGAGACTCCATGCAAGCCTAAACCTAAGGACTTGTTTGCCTTGTGTGTATATGATTACTTGTACATAACATCATAAACATCATAACATCATAAGCATTCTCACTGGCCATTTCAAGGATTATTGGGATTTATCTTTGTTCTGTTTTGTAGGACATGGCTTCCATTTGCAGGAATACTATCCAAGTCAATCTCATAAGAATTCCTTCTCAACTCAAAGAGTTAGCATTAAGGGTCCATGAGAATTACTCATTCACCAAAAGACATGGTCGCCTTCTAAACTTGGTCACTTCAAGCACTGATGAAGATATGATGAAGGTGCTTTTCCAGTTCTTCGACCCTTTACACCATTGCTTCACCTTCCCCAATTATCAGCTTGTACCTACTCTGGAAGTATTCTCTCAACTCTTGAGGATTACCATTCTTAATCAACTACCCTTCAATGGTACAGAAAGAGATCCAAGACCTGAATAGATTGCCCTAGCACTACACTTGCAACAATCTGATGTCACGACTAATTGGGAAACAAGGAGTGGTGTCAAAGGATTCTTAGCCAAGTTCTTGTTTGAGAAAGCTCAAGAGTGTTGGAACTCTTTGGACTTACAAGCTTTTGAAGGAATCCTAGCCCTTCTCATCTATGGGATGGTTTTGTTTCCAAGCCCTGACCAATTCATAGATGTAAATGCTGTCAAAATCTTCATGTCTCACAATCCGGTGCCTACTTTGTTGGGAGATATCCTACATTCTCTCCACTCTCGTACTATAAGGAAAAGAGGGACCCTCATGTGTTG